CCTCAGCCATGGGCACATTGGAACCTTGGAGCACCCTATTGTAGCGGGACCAGTGAGTAGGGTCGCGCAAGGACATCAGGATATAGTGTGCCCTAGTCTTCCCAGTATCAAACCTCCCTTTAAGTGTGAAATCACTGCCAAACTTTGCATTCAAACGGACACAAAGGTCGTTGAAGCTAGGATGTTCATCAAACCATTCCAATTCTTCTTCCATATCCTCAAACATACCATCTTCTCTCCTAACACTTCCTCTGTAGAAAACTCTAACACAACAATCCATCTACAAAAGCATTTTAGAAACTTCATTAGGTCATCGAAATCGTCGTGCGTAATAACTAAAGGACTACACCCATACTAACTAACTATACTAACTAATCTAATATTAATACATATACTAACAATTCTAACTGACTAACTACACTAAACACACTAATATTAATACCTATACTTATTATACTAAGTAACTTTACTAACTATACATATCTAGCTAACTGCAAAACTATGCATAACTTATATTTACCAGTGTTCTCCTAAACGACCGATTAAACTGCCACTAAACGGTAAACGGTGGTAAACTGTTTTGCTTAGGGGGGTAAATGGGTTGACCGTTTAAACGGTCAAAAAACAGGGGAAAACGGTCTAAACGGCCTAAACGGAACGGAGATAAACTGTATTAAACGGGCTAAACAGCTGTTTAAACGGTTGTTTAGGCGAACACGTGGTAAATCTAGTTCAGCTTTGTATGGGTAAATTTGTATACTTAAGTTTATTATATTTATAAATGTGTACACTTGATATGCTACATGCATAAATATCTATATTTGGTTCTTTTCACATGCATAAATATATATACATACCAAAATAATTGATTTTTACTCGGATAAATATGTATAAATGCTAGAATACTTGATTTTTTAAATGCACATATATAATTATATGTTTTTTTTTAAAAAGTACAAAACCGTTTAACTTCGTTTAAACACTGTGTAAACAACCTAAACGTTAAACGAAGGGCGACTATGTAAAGATCATTTACCGTTTAGGAAAACATTGATATTTACTAACTTCACTAAATATCTTTGCTAACTAATTGTATAAATCTCTATCCAGTCAAACTAAATTTGAATCCTAACCATAACAAAAAAAAATTGACAGGGATGCAGAAAGAGCATTACCTCGACAAAGATTATGGGCCACCACAATCCACCAATGGAAAGGAGATGGCCGTCGGCTGCAATGGCCGGCCGGCAGCGGCCAACTTCTGGAGGGCGGCGGCAATGGCCGGCCGACAGCGCAACAATGTCCTTCACGGCTCGAGATAGTGCGGAGAGATTGAGGGGCGGCGACGAGGACAGGCGGCACGTGGCAGTGGGGAGATGGAGGGGGCGGCGGTAGTAAGGGAGGCAACGAGACAGGGGGAGATGGAGATGGAGTCAGGGAGGACTGGCACACGGCGGCTGGGAGTGTCGGGCAGGGCGCGTCGGGCGCGGGCGCACTGGGCGGGGCGTGGCGGCCGCGGGCTCGTCGGGCAGGGCGCGACATGGTGGCGGCACGGCGTGGCACGTCGGCGCGGGTGTGCCGTGTTGGCAGCGCGGCGTGGTGGTGGCCGAGTGAGACGAGAGAAAGAGAAAGGGAAGCGAGGCCGGGTAAAAGGGGATGCCGCGTCGTGATGCGTGGCGCGGCAGGCCCGCCACGCTGTGACGGGTGGCGCGTCAGACCTGCCACGTCAGCGGTCGCCGCAGCCGTTAACTGCCCCCTGTCGCGCCTCTATGCATGGCGCGGCAGCGTGAATTAGCCGCGCCGTGCAAACAGACGCGTCCAAAAGTGTTAGTTTTGAAAAAAAAAAATAAACAGTGTCAGTTTTAAAAATAGTTTAAAAATTATGTTAAAAATAAAAAAAATCACAGTAGAGAGGGGATGTCATGCAAACACGGCGGTTTATCAATTCAGATGCTGCCTGCCTGGATGTTGGATAGATCGTGTCCGCAGAACAGAGATGCATAGAGGAGGAAGATCACAGCTCCAGCAGTTGGGTAGATTCTGGATTTTCCTTACGACAAGTACATTGGTATTGTCTAATAGATAGTCTCATACAGTGTCATATAATTATGAGACGGTTTAAGAGATAATACGTACAATAAGTCGTCACATAGTAATTCTAGGATTTAAATTTGTTCATACAACAGAGGAAGGTTTTTGAGTTGCATGACAATAACCACTTATACAATAGTGTATAAGTTGTCTTATAATCCTAAATTATAGCTTATGAGGTGGTTGCTTTGCGAAACTAACCATATTTTTCTCTTACCTCTCTCTCTCTTCTCTCTGTCATAAAAAATTCAACGTGACACTGCATGAGACGATCTATAAGAGTGCTTATGTGTCAATGCACTTACTCTAAGGAAAATAGTAAGAAAGGAAATAATGTATCAATCAAAGAGCGTGTTTGGGACCATGCACTACCATGCATGGTGTGGTATGACGACCGTTGGTTCAATCTCGCGATGAGTGTCTCCTGCTATAGAAAGAATTATATGTGCTGCAATGATGTTTGGCAGGATTTTCTCACATCTCGCAGTCAACAGATTTAATTTAATCAGAAATAAACAAGCCCAAAGCTCTTCCATCCATCAAAAAATTTGAGGATATGAACCTACAGCATTTTGCAGCAGCCAACTCCGAGATGAAAATGGAGGATATAAACCACGCTCATATTTAATCGCGGAAATGAACCTTTTGTTTAAAAAAAATCTAATAGCAAAAATGGCGTTGTATAGGTGGAACGTTTTTAATAGATAAAAACGACATCCATCAACGGAGAAGCGACATCTCCGTGGATATCGTATCACCATCCTCCGTCAATCACTCAGGGTCTGTTTGGTAACGTGGCCCTGCCCGGCTGACCAGGCCGAGCCCAGCCCGAGCCCGCTCCTTAGCGGCAACCTGCCGTGTTTAAGCCTTTTGGCACGGCTTATTAAAACGTTTTCACCGGTAAACCAAAGTCGATCAAGCCAAAAAAAATTAATTTTTTTTCTGATTTTTAGTTTATTTTAACTCCAACTTATAAAACAGTTTTACGCTACAATACTTCGATTTACGCAAAATAGATGAAACCGAAGCCAACATGATCCATGAAAAAAAAAAGCCCTTAGTGTTTGATTCGTTGTACCGAATGAGCCAGGTTAAATAAAGATTGTGTTTGTTTCGTCGTACAAATGAGTACAGTTACCCTGCACCATAGTGTGGTGATGTTACCACCCCCTCTCTCCCTTGCTGGCATTCTATCGAGCGCTTGGTGGGCGGCGATGGTGGCGACGTGCGCACGGCCGCGATGCACCGCGGAGCTCGTCTGGGCAGCAGTCGTTGAGGTCGACGAGGCATCCCGTGTCGGGGCAGTCGGCCGCGGCGGCCCTGGACGACGATGGTGGCGACGCGGCACTCAACCTTGTCGGAGCTCGACGCGGCGACGGCAGCGGCGGCCCGCGCGCGCCACGGTGATCGACGCGGCGGCACCTGCGAGGTCGCGGCCTCGTCTTCTTGCTCGTCGGTCGCTGCGGCCACCACCCGCCGCGTCAAGGCTAGCGCGCGCAGCCCGCGCGGCCGCGGCGGCCACCACCCGCCGCCAGGCCCCCGCCGTTAGCCGCGAAGTCCTCCGGCGGTCCCTCGCGCCGCTCGCGGGTGATGCTTCCTCCGTCTTCGCCGCCGCCACGATGAGGAGGCCGCGCGTGGTTGGCCGCGCCTTTGGGGCGGTTTCCCGTCGTGGCCGGCGGAGCTGGGCTCTAGTGCCGCCGCGCGCGCTGTACCCGGCCTCCGTGCTCCTCAGGGCGCGCGCCAGCATCCTCCTCAGACTCCTTTTCCTCCGCGCACAGCAGCACACCGTCGAGCTCGCGGCGGCGGACGCCGCCCGGGAGGCCCTGTCGCGTCCTTCGGCTCCGCCGCGACGTCCCAGGCGGGGACACCACGCTGCGCTGCACCTCGCCGGGATCTGCAGCACCGCGCCCTTGAGGACCCCAAGCAGCTCGGGTTCCCTTCCTCCTCTCCGACGAGTCCCTTCTGCACGGGCGGCGGCGGCGGGTCGTCCCTGGCCGACACCAGCTTCGCGTTCGCGTCCGCCGGGTCGTGCGGCAGCAGCTCGAAGTAGCCCATGTTGGGCATGATGGTGTAGGACACCTCCGGCGGGTCGCACATCGGGCGGCGGCGGAGTCGGTGAGGAGGAGGTGCGGCTGCGACGGGGACGCGGCGGGGGAGGTGGGCGGCGTACAGCAGGAGGTGAGAGGCTAGGAAGGTGACCCAATCGCTCCATCGGGCCACTCGCTCGCTCCATCCGGCCCGGCTCCGAAAAAACGAACCCCCTCCTCGTTTTCATGGGGCTTGGCCAAGGTGCTTTAAGTTTCGTACGGCGCAGACTCTAGACTGGGCCAGCAACACAGCGTTGCAGCCCAAGGGAGCAGCCAGGCCATCGGGCCAGCTTACCGAACACGCCCTCAACGGTCGGCTCCTTCATTTCAGTACTATACTATATATACGTTACCCACTCATGCCATCCTCCGTCAATCACTCAACAGTCTGGCTCTTCCTCTCCATCTGCATTTCGAATCTGAAACCCCAATTCCTGATATAACCGCAGTGAACAGAAGGCATTCGAGCTTAAGGATAGCGGCGGCAATGGGGATCGACCAGCCCATCAAAGCATGTTCTTTTCTCTTCACAATTAAATCCCCTGCCATCGACTTGTTTATCATCAAGTGCATTCATTTATTGAGTCCAAAAAAAAAGAACATTCATTTATTATCGCATATTAATTAATCTCGTTGACGATCTTGGGTTGGTTCTTTAATTTATTTACTGCGATTTCTCCGGGTTTTCTTGAATCGACTCGTTTCTTGCTATTGAATCGATTATCTGAATGTACTGAATCCGTTGCCCTGCTTCTGCTTGTTTCTCTCTGAAACCAGGGGAAAAGGGGGAGGCCCGCTGGTTCCCGATCCACCAACGCCAAGATGGAGGAAAAGATGGAATTGATCAAGTGGAGGACGGACTTGCTGGACAGCGGCGCCGGCAGTAGCAAGAGTGACAAGGATGATGATGCCATACCAATGGTGAGGCCGTGAGGGCATTTCTCACATTCTGATTCAGAGTAGTACCATCCCGCTGAACATACAAATGTGTTGCCGTTTTCGTGGCTCTAGAATAACTAAAGTTACACGATTGCAGGATGATGAGCTTGCTATTGTTGTTGCTAACGAACCTGCAGCATTAGCAATTCATTGTGGTGATACAGACGATGATGACGGGGAGGTTATTCCTAAGTGTACTGCCAGTCTGCCACTTTATTTCTTCTGTGCACAGTGTCAATCTTATAGAAGTATATACACTAGATTTGCAGTTCGTCTTTACACTATATTGATATTGAATAATCATCATATCATTGTGCCATTGGTCATAGCATTGTCATTGTTATGGGTGTTGGGCCCAGGACGGCCCAGCCTCGGCTGGCATGAACAGTACCCGCGGTAATGTAGCGTGGCCTATAGCGCCCTTACTAAGGACTAAGGAAGGAATAAGGATTAGGAAAGAGATTAGATTAGATCAATTAGAGGGATTTGATCAGTTAGGGATAGGGTTAGATTTGGATTAATTAGAGATAGGATTGGATATGATTTGTTATGATTTGATTGGGCCTTCTTGTCCTCTCTATATATAGGGAGGTGATGTACCAAGAAGGAAAGCAATGAAGAAAGAACAAACAATCCGATTCTCTTAAATACTCTAGTCTCCCTCCACGCCGATTTTGTCCAGCCATCTTCCTGGCAATGGTTATCCCCAAATGATCCAAGGATCATAACATCTGGTATCAGCTTGCTTTGGTTTTGATCCATTCCCATGGCTTCTGCTGCGGACGCCTTACGCGCCCTTGCCGAGGGGCATCGTCACATGTCTGAGCAGCTCTAGTCATATGCCCACAACGTTGGATCGCATAATGGCATTGCTCGAGGCGAAGGAGGAACGTGAACGCCTGGCGGCAGTACGCCAACAGGCAGCAGCACATGGACTCATGTGCAATTCTTCATAGTATTACTAAGGTCAATGTATTACATGACCAGCAAAGAACACTATATCTGAAATCAATATTTTTATGTCTTTGCTGAATTGTGATATTGTTCTAAACTTATTGCTCTAACCTTTCTGATCTTTGAATATTCTCATCATCGAAGATTGTGAGGCCAAGAAGAGTGGGGCCTAAGAAAAGAAAGCTTCCTGGTGTTCCTCAGACACAAGTAAAGATCTACTATCCACCTCCATATTTATATCAGTTCATTTGACACAAAGCTATATATAGAATAGAAGCACTGAAAAGAGCTCGGTTTTTCATTAATAAGATCATAACAGGCTTGATACTATAAAATGGACACTTTATAATTTTGTGGGCTGACTCAGATTTTCTTAATTGGATTTGAAACTCAGAACAGAATACCCGAGAAAATATAGTTTGAGTGGATTTTGTTTTTTCACTTTATACTGCTCTATCAGAAACTTCTCTGTTTTTTTTTTCAAATTTGATTTTTCTTGTCTTTCCATTAGTACTAGGCTGAGGGTACCCCTAGGCTGAAGGGTTGAACTAACCATGAACAAATTGTGACCTTACAGGGATATGATGCTAATGGCCATCACATAAGTGTAAGGTAATTCTAGTCTTGTTTTATTTTTATATTGTCGTGAGTAAACTGTACCTGAAGTTCGCAACCCTTGTGCACTTATTAAATTGTTGTAGTGTTGACGAAAATAGGGAATCTGCTATGGCTAGAGCTGAGGAGATACAGTCAAATTTACCCGCAGAACATCCTAGCTTCATCAAGCATATGCTAAGATCCCACGTCATCAAGGGTTTTTGGCTGGTAAGCTGATACTTGTTATGTTTGCCCAATGCTGAAGAAAATATCTGCTTCTTACGGAAAACATGTTTGAACGAATAGAGAATGTGAGGAAACACTATATTTCTATCAGAGCATAAAATTAGCAGAAAAATGCTCACCCTCCCCAAAGTGAAAACTTTACGTCTTAGAGGCACAATGAAGGCTTGGAAAGGTTCAATTCCATAGTCACAGGGAATTTTCCCCATGTTCCTGGGACCTGAACAAATCATTGTTGCATTCATTCATGAAAATTAAGCTTAGGGTGAGCATAGCAGATCTAGGAAACAAATAATGTGCAAGCTAATGGCATTTCCTGTTTATATTACAGTTTGACACTTCATTGAAAGATTCCATGTTATTAAATAAAATAGTCAACCACTAATTCAGTACAAGGCACCTGAGATCAGTATCTCTTTTGCTTCTTTGTATTTGACTTTTGTGTTCCTCTTTTAGGGTTTACCAAAACACTTTTGTGACAAGCATCTTCCGAATAGAGATGTCGTAATTGTGCTAGAAGATGAGAATGGAGAGGACCATGATACGACTTACCTTGGATACAAGCAGGGACTCAGCGCTGGGTGGAGAGGTTTCGCAATTGATCATGGTATTAAGGTTGGAGATGTTGTGGTTTTTGAGCTTGTGAAGTCAACGAAATTCAAGGCAAGTTTTTTTTTTCAATAAACTGGTACGAGACTTCCAGCTCGATTTAAATTTTAACAGAGAAGAATTTAGTAACAAGGAAAGATTTCTCCCAATGTGTATTGTGATGTGGATTGCTTATTCTTTGCATTCATAATATGTTGACAGGGTACACATTTGTTGGACTGTTTCATCTGCGCACTACAAATCCAGTAACTGAATGTTCACTCCTGACTATGCCTTTTTCCATTCAGGTATACATTGTCAGAGCAAATGGATTTAAAACAGCAGATGTAGATCCCAATCTGCTGAATTTGGAAGCGCGCAAGAAAGGTAAGTAAGTTGTTGCTAATTTTGCAATTAAGAATCTATCACACATGGACATATATAGACTACTGAATCTCAATGAAATAGGAGAAGAACAAAGCTGTGAAGATGTCATAACTGAGGAGGACACGGAGGACACCACAAACAATAATCGCGAAGTGCCTCCAAGTGATGGCAGCAGCAGGAATGGCATCGGGATTTCATATTCAGAGATCGATTTCGATGACGTGACAAGTTTCAGCGACGTCAACGTCATCCTGGTCTGCCTGGCCACCGACTGCGAATTCCATGATCGCCTACGCAGGACGTACTACGAGCTCTGCTGCTCCCAGAAGTCGCTTCTTCACAAGCACCTGCTCAAGCAGCTGCATCCCACCCTCGTTGCGGGAGTGATCATGGAGATGGTCAGCATCGCCGACGGTATCAGGGCCTGCAAAGCGGAAGCCTCTTCCCGCGAGGACTTCCTGGTCTGGAAGAAGACGCTGGAGGCCTTTGAGCTCCTGGGCATGAACGTTGCGTTCTTGCTCAATCGTGTCAATGGTCTTCTTGGTGTTGCTTCTCGGTCGAGAGAATCCTATGCAGAGTGGCAGGATAAGTATGAGGAATTGAAACTGGAGCGGGCTCGTGCCGGGGTCAAAATGAAGGCTCTTGAGCTTCAGCTGTCGACTGTGATGTGAAGGATGTGCTGCAAAAAGTGGATTCAAAGATGGAGGAGCTGCAGTCCAGCTTGAAGAAAAGCGATGAAGTGCTTCAGGAGCTCGCCTCTGCGCCATGGTGATTCTCGTTGTGAAAGTTGCCACGGACAACATTATGGGCCATTGCATCATGTTTAATGATGCTGAGGTTGCTAGTCAGGAGTTATTGGTTAGTAACGGACTTCTTTTCCAGTAGTAACGGATTACACTCTCTGGTAGTGTAATCCCCAACCTTTGTTGTAATTCCTGCATCATGTGCTTTGCTCTCAACTGAAAAAGAGGGTGGTGGTAATTTTCTGCAGGTAAATGACCGAGACGAAACAAATTAGGGCCTGTTTGGACGACATAGTTTTAGAAAACTGTGGTACAATGAAAATGTGGTTTTATAAGTCAAGACACAAAACTATGGATTGGAAACAATAGATCATGATTGGAGTTTCTAAAACTAAAAAAAAACTATAGTTTTGATAAAAGATGACAATTTTAGAAACTACAAGAATTCTCATATCCAAACACTCAACAGCTTTTGCAAAACCACAGTATTTTGCAAAGTATCTATCCAATACTTTAAAATACTTTGCATCTGAACGAGGCTATTCAAGTTAGCTAAACGCAAGTACTTAGTAAAGCTCATTCATCATTTGTAGTTCTTCTTGACCATCTTAATGATTAGCTTGCATTAGGATAGTATTGACAAAGAAGTTTATCTACATTCTATTTCACTTAGAAAAGAATTTAATTGTGGGAATCGCTTGGTTCACTTAAATGATGTTATGCTTAATTGTTTGGCTTTTTGGGCTAATTTTTACATTGTTCCAGAGGGACATAGGTAGTCGAAAGAGCCAGACACAACAGAATCCATTGTCAAAAGAGCCAGACGCAAAAGAATCACACACCTGAAAAACATCACGTCCATCACGTCTGCTGCTTCGGGCCTCATTCCTCGTCGTCTTCAGCACAGATGGCAGGCTTGGTCGAAATACAGGCGATGAGGTGTCCCGGTCCCATATATCGACAAGTTCTATATCAGAGACTAAGATAAAAAAAAAAAGAGATTGTTCATCTTTAACGAAGTCTCATGAGTATAGTAATATTGTAAACACACGCTCAAAGTATTGTTTCTCGGGTAATTATGGCCCCATTCGCTGGTCTGAATCTTGACTGAAACTGGCTGAAAAACACTGTTCTGGCTAAATTGTTGTGATAGAAAAACACTATTCCGGCTGAAAAAAATAAGCCGAACAAGCCGAATATGGGGTAAGCCGAACGGGGCCTATATAACACATGTTTATGTTACATTCTCATGGTATTATTTTTTTCGTTGCAACACACGGATATTTACCTAATGTCTATTGTAGTAAAAATTATGTATCAAAAGGTTAGAACAACTTATAATTTAGAACAGTAAAAATATAGTCTAATCCCACTCTCACTGTGGAAGTAGCCAGAGAAGAGTACCTCCTCTCTCCATAAAAGAACACAACTATAACATAGTATAAAGTTTAATTATATTAAATTTAACTAAATATATATAAAGTATCAATATTTATGATAGCAAATAAGTAACACTAGAGAGATATATTTTTACAGTATACTCATTTAACGTCATAAACATTGATATTTTTTTTTGTATATTTGGTTAAACTTTGGGTCTAAAAATTAAGAATAGAAATGTATTTTTTTAGATCCGAGAAACAGCGACAGGTCAGTCCCATCCTGGAAGATGCATCGAATATGCCGTGTGCGTCACATAAGTACTCTACCGGGGGTCGTCGTTTTTTTTTTTTGGAAAATCATTTCACAGGGAAGGGGAATGACAATTGACAATTATCTCGAACCGGGGTTACCTCCGTTTCCACGCACCCATAGAACAACCGATCAAAATCCCTTTCCGACCTCCAACTCTGCGCCGCAATCCCAGAAGCTAGAGCAACTCCACCACCAGATTGAGAAACTTGACCCTCCACGCGTGCTATCGGATTTGGATATCCTCCGCCGAGGTATGAGACAGGAGGCGGCAACCAGCAAAGTGGTGACCCAGGAGGACGCCCTGCACCACCGCAAGGAGCCGCCCCCCTGCCGCCAGGACGATCCGCCAGCACTGGCTTCGTCGCTGTCATCGCCGTCGTCACTGTCAGAGGACGATGGCGACGCCATGCCGCAGCCATCTTCTTTATACGCGGTCTTGCTGCGCCGGGAGGGCGAGCCGGCGTCCGCGGCAGCGGGGGAGGAGCTGCTGCTGGTACCACCGCTCAACTTCGCCATGGTGGACCACGGCGTGTACCGCTCCGGATTCCCGGACGTCTCCAACCTTCCGTTCCTTGAGACCCTCCGACTCCGCTCCGTCCTGTGAGTGTCGCCCCCAATCCACCGACTGCCGGCCTATTGAACCAACCATTCTTGATTGGTTCTTGAATGCGCTTGCGTCCCAGGTGTCTGTGCCCTGAGCCGTATCGGGAGGCTAACCTGGAGTTCCTCCGTGCCCACGGGATCAAGCTCTTCCAGTTCGGAATCGACGGCTCCAAGGTGAAGAAAACTCTACTGCTAATAGCACTACTCATTCTCTTTCTGATTAAGTGCACTCTCATTTCGATTGGTATACTTGCTTGGATCGTCGGATATCTTGGATTAGTTCTATTGTTATTTGTTACTTGGAAACTAGTCCTTAAAAAACCACACTTGTTTTTTGTTTGGTGAAAAGAAACAGAATGGCCGAGTTACTGGTGTATATTCAGTTACTCACTCCCTTCCCAATTGTAGGTTATAATTTGACTTTATCCTAAGTCAAATATAAGAAAAAAAATCTAAATTTAACCAAGTTTTGAAAGAATATAGTAACTTAAATTTCAAATAAATGCACTATCAAAGCATGTAGTGAATTAATTTGATAATGAAGATGCTGGTGGATTTTTCTAAAAGTTTGATTAAAGTTAAAAATGTTTGACTTAGGACAAAGCCAAAATAGCCAAAATGAACTATGAATTTAAACCGAGGGAGTATTAAATTATTACTCTACTAGTTCTTCATTGTGCAATTGATTAATTGCATTAATATTGTTTATTATTATTTTAATTTATTCTTGTCACTGCGCGGATTCCTTGTGTCTCAGAGTAGCTGTCAACACAGAATGGCTGTCACACTCATGGCTTTGATGCTGGCAGTGGCTAATGTTCGCCAAATCTTCCCTCTTGTACTTTTGTTCCCGACATATACTGCCTTCTAAGCGCAATTTATTGAAAGATATAGACATATGTCTTGTCCAAACCGAGCTTCTGTCCTGACCGGCGCTTTTGCCTGAAAGCATCTATCCATTAAGTTTCGCATCGAATAAATCTTGTTGATATATTTGGTTTAGTAAGTGGGATTTGCTAGACCACACTTTGTCACATGCTGTTGTGGGATAAATGAATACTTTTCCTTGTAAATACAGCAAAAGAAGTATAAAACAACACATGTGCAAACAAGATACTATGGCATACATAGGCCTAGTTTAGAAACTCCACCCCCCTCGGGATCCCAGTCTTTTCCGGACATGCCATTCTAATTAGCCACTTAATTCTTCAGAGGGGCCTTTACATCCCTCATTTTGCCTCGCCCTTACTTCCAAACTAGGCCTTATTCAATTTGAGAAATATATTTATGTCCAAAGCATCTCGATTTTTGCTAAAGTGTATTGATTAGATGTGTAAAATTTACACTGGGGTATTTTAAATACTGTGTACAAATCCATTTTAGTCACCTGATCTATCGCAACAATCCTTGTAAACCCCATTTCCTGAGAATTCGTCTACTTCCTGTCCAAATAATAAAAAAAAACTACTCCACATATGACTCCTTCGGTTCTCTCCAATTCAGGGAGAGGATGCACCAAGAACCCTAAGGTTTGAGAAGTATGTGGGCATGGTGTACTTTGCAAATTTTTATTTTTGCTACTGTCTACGATTGTGGATTCACCAAGAAACCATGAAAATATAGCTCTAAAACGTAAGATGCTTGGACTAGAATGGTTTTCTATGTTTAGAACATCAGTGATCCCCAATCTGATTATTGCAAGTCAGAAGTGATGTTATTTTATTATGAATTCTTTTTCAATTTTATGCTTGGAGTTTTCTAAGATCACAACAAAATATCATAGCACCTTCCTCTCATCCGTATATTGGAGATATTTATTATGATTTTGTATTGCCCAAGATATTGCATTGGTGATTTGTGTATTTTTGTTGGTTAGTGCACTGGGGATTAAACCTTTTGTTGCAATATACTCCTGTCCCAAAATAAGTGTCATTCTCGTTTTCTGAGGTGTCAAACACTTTTAACTTTAACTAAATATATATAAGAAAATATTAATATTTATAGTACATAATTAGTATCATTATATAGATCGTTGAATCTATTTTCATAATATACTTATTTGGAGATACAAATATTGCTAAAATTTTCTACAAACCTAGTCAAACATAAGAAAGTTTGTCAGGCACGAATACCATTGCGACACTTATTTTGGGATGGAGGGAGTATATGGTAACTTTGACAGTACATAAGGTTTCAAGCATATTTTTCTGCTCTTCTACAAAGTGAATTGAAGGCAAGGAAGCTGGACATCTGCTTCTGAACAACGGAACCAGAAGAACTAGGACTAGATTGTTTATTTGTGTTACATCACGGGAGAAACATGTTCTATGGCTTGCATTTGGCAGTGTGGTTATTTCGAAATATGGTTTCTAAACTTGAAATTATTTCTATCATGGCAAAAAAATAGGAATCAGTCTTAGCTGGCACCTAGCGTTACCTGAAGACTGCTGTCTTAGCTGGCACCTAGCGTTACCTGATCATGGTTAATCAAGCATTAATGATCTTAATTAGTTTGAGAGTGCTTAAATCTTTGTAGGACATATTAAGCAATCTCTTGTGGTGGCAACTGTTATTAGTGTTGTTTAATACAAGAGTTTTAAGTGTCAAAATTGGAAGAATATCAGAATTGGGCTTTTGAAGTGTTTCTATGTATTACTATAATGGCGGTGTAAAATGACACCTTTGTAGTTTTACTTTTGGTTAATATGATGTAATTGATCATTATTTCCTTGTATCATAAGATTATGTTGTTAGTTAATTTTGCCTTGTTTTTCATGAAATGGCACTTTTCTTATATCCTGTAGCTCAGTTTTAGACTTTTGATGCTGAAAATAACAGGAGCCGTTTGTGAACATACCAGAAGATAGAATCCGTGAAGCTCTAAAAGTTATTCTAGGTACTGAAATGCCTTGTAACTCATTTATGTTCTGCTTGTGTCCTGATCTGATGGCAATTTCTCTTATAGATGCAAGGAACCATCCGGTTCTTATTCACTGCAAGCGAGGAAAGGTAAGCAGCTTGATCATGTCATGCACTCAAGCTGTGCTCAAAGTTCCCAATAAACTATAATCTTGACATTTGAAACATGAACCAAAATTTGCAGCATCGAACTGGCTGTGTGGTTGGATGTTTTAGGAAATTGCAGCGTTGGTGTCTAACTTCAATATTTGACGAATACCAGCGTTTTGCTGCTGCCAAAACAAGAGTTTCTGATCTTCGATTCATGGAGCTATTTGATGTATCTAGCATAAAGCATTTGCCAGCATCGTTCCCATGCTAAGGAAGCAAGCCTCAGCAGATGTCCGTGCTCCGAGACTGACATTTCTTTCCCTTGCTACGTTATCCTTTTGAGTCATATGTTTGATATAGTAACATCGATGCATGATAAGAACTTTTGAGTACTAGTTACATTACGATGTCATCTTTTTCTTTTAAGAAAAAAATGTCATCCCTGGAAATGCTATCTTATTATCATTTCGGAGCATACTCCCTCCATCCCAGAAAGAAAGTCGCTATGGGATATGTGTAGGTAAACTTTCTCAACTTTAACTAAGTTTATAGAAAATATGTGCAACATTTATATCTTCAAATAAATTTCGCCAAACTAAAAGATCCTAAATGGCTAGATGGGATGAATAGCCTAATTAAAATTTTCTACAAATCACTAAAGTAAATGGTTAGGCAATTATAAGGCAATAATTACGTTTTGCTCTAGCTCTACTCAAAAAGCAAGCCTCCTACCAATATGCTAGTTATCTATGATCTCTATGTCAATCAATCAAACAACTAGGCTAAGTTGCTACTTCTATCACTGGTGAGCTAGCAAAAACAATTTACAACTAATTACACTATGCTACTCAACTAGCAAGGCTACCAACAAGCTCTACACAAAATATGAACTAGATAATGTAAAGAGCAAGTGTAGAAGTGTGCAAACCGAGCCGGGCAAGCGTCAATCAAATGAATACCAAGAATTTCAATTGACACAATGATTTATCATGTGGTTCGGTTGTTTGCCGGCAACTTAGTCCACGTTGTGGCGAGATACTCACTAGGTGGCTCACGCGCTAATAGGCCACACACACCTAGCCCTACACAAGGGCGCTGTAAGAACCACACGAGTGAGGCTACACAGGCCACGAGCAATCCACTAGAGTTGCCTTTTGCGATTCTCTTGTGGGGAAGGAACAAGCACCCCTCACAACCACTACGATCGAAGCCGACAACAATCACCAATAGTCACTCAATGATCCCACAAACTCTGGGCCATCTAGGTGTCGGTAAACACCAAAAGTAACAAGAATTCCAACAGCCGAATGCGCTCTTCTAGTGCCACAAGATGCAAGAAAACTAAGCACTACATTAGAGGTTCTCTAAATCTCACTCAAATGATGAAATCAAGTGCACAAGTAAATGGAGTGTGTATCTCGGCTCTCAAAGTGTTTGCACAAGTGTATGGAGTGCCAAGAGGGTGGTCAAGGCCGGCCACACCACCTATTTATAGCCCACACATCAAATAGAGCTGTTGGCCCCTTGGAGCTGATTTCTGCGTGGTCACCGGACAGGGCGGTGGCACACCAGATAGCCTGTCTGGTGACCCTAATGGTCGAATTCCAACGGCTAGGCACCCAGAGGCACCGGACAGCCTGGCAGTGACCCTAGCTCGTGACTTCCAATTTTCTATACCCTCTGAAAAAATAGGGCGGTGCCCCTGGTGGTGCACCGGACAGCCTGTCTGGTGACCATTTTTCCAAAGTCCCGAAACATATTTGCTTATACCTTTACCTGAGCCCATTTTTGTTTTTCTCTTTCGTTTTTTCCAAGTTGGAGCACTTGATTCACCATCTTTTGGCCATCTCCTTCACTTGAGTGCCATCTAGCTCCATTACTTGGACTTGGACCAACCTATCTCAATAACACACTTAAAGCATAGGGTTAGTCCAAATAGGTTTCATCAATTAGTCAAAACCAAATTAGGGCTTTCACAAACCCCTCGAAGTAGTCCTCGGTAGCGAGCTAACCAGGTTTTGGGGACCCTCCATAGCTTGGCGGAGCCAGAAGCTATAGGTTGCAGCTGCGTTCCTAAGCCCAGTTGGGAAACCGGTCATGATGCAGTCTGGTAGCGGTGTTGGATCCATGTCGATCTAGAACCCAACGCGGGTCTGCTAGGAGCATGCAGATCTTGTTGAGGATGAACTCCTAGCTGAACTCAGCGAAGGAGTCGGCATCCGAATCTTCCTCATAGGTTTCTCGTCCACCACGTTGAATGATGTACCCTGGTTCTAGTGGGCCTCATCCTTATTGTATTCGGCCCTTCTTGTCTGTATTGGGCGATTATACAGGTGGTGAGGTACCTTAGGTCCATATCTCCGACTAGATGGATCTATTTGGATTATGATTTCTTGCTATCCAGATTATCTTAAAAAGCCCTATATGTATATCAAATATAAAACAGGTGGGCTATATATAAGCGAACAGAGACAATTCATACATCCACACAGTTAGTTAGCGGAGGGATTGACAAAAAAAATTAGGTATAAATAAGTATTAGGTCCATAGATATAGATTAATTGCTACATATCAAAGATATGAATATATTGATGTGACTTCAATATTCTAAACCTCACTACTGGAGACGTCCTTTTTGCCGAGGGCTTCTGGCTTTGCCGAGGGCTATATCTCGGGCACTCGGCAAAGAGGGTCTTTGCCGAGGGCCAGCCCCAGGAGCCCTCGGCAAAGCTAGACCCTCGGCAAAGAAGCCTTTACTGAGGGCCTGGCCCTCGGCAAACAAACGACCCTCAGCAAAATAAATCTTTGTCGAGGGCCTAGCCCTCGGCAAATATGGCCGGATGGGTCACGGCGGCCATTGGGGTCAGTCTTTGCCGAGTGCCCGCCGTTAGGCACTCAGCAAAGATTTTTTTATTTTTTTTAAATATTCTTTGCCGAGGGCTATTGGTCAGGCCCTCGACAAAGACCCCCTTTGCCAAGAGCCAGGCTAGACCATCAGCAAAGAGTTTTTTTTTGGTTTTTTGAACCCAGTTTTTTTTGTGCTATAATACATTATTTAAATCTCAATTTTAAAATTTGGGCCAAATTTGACTATTTTGATATTTTTCCCTAATTTATTTCTTTTCGTTGATTTTTTCGAATATTTCAAATTTGAACTGCAGGTGGATGAAATAATGTAATTTAGTGATTCAAAAAATATTATTCATGGTATTTGGTGTATGTTGAGTCCCTATCCACGAACTCGCATCAAATTTCGGGCATCTTCTTCACGTAACATGACGAGGAACTTGTCGGAAAAGTATTTTTAAATTATATAAAATCCATACGAAGTCCGAAAATCATGAAACTTGTCGAGGTTCACATGTGGAGATGTCTGGGTTTTAGGCATCCGATGTCATAACTTGCTTCAAACCTTCTCAAATTTTTACCATAGCCTACACATGCGATAACATCACACCTCGACAAGTTTCATGATTTTCGGACTTCATATGAATTTTATATAATTTAAAAACACTTTTCCGACAAGTTCCTCGTCATGTTACGTGAAGAAGATGCCCGAAATTTGATGCGAGTTCGTGGATAGGGACTCAATATACACCAAATACCATGAATAATATTTTTCGAATCACTAAATTGCATTATTCCATCCACCTGCAGTTCAAATTTGAAATATTCAAAAAAAATCAACGAAAAGAAATAAATTAGGGAAATATACCAAAAAAATTCAAATTTGGCCCAAATTTTAAAATTGAGATTTAAATAATGTATTATAGCACCACAAAAAAACTAGGTTCAAAAAACAAAAAAAACTCTTTGCCGAGGGTCTAGCCTGGCCCTTGTCAAAGGGGGTCTTTGCCAAGGGCCTGGCCAATGGCCCTCGGCAAAGAATATTTAAAAAAAATAAAAAATCTTTGCCGAGAGCCCTGGATCTGGGCCTTCGGCAAAGGGCCCAACCCTAAATCGGCCAGCGGCCCAAATTCCCCGCCCACAGACAAAAAAAATCTTTGCCGAGGGCCTAGCCTGGCCCTCGGCAAAGGGGCTCTTTGCCGAGGGCCTGGCCAATGGCCCTCGGCAAAGAATATTTAAAAAAATAAAAAATCTTTGCCGAGGGCCCTAGATCTGGGCCCTCGGCAAAGGGCCAAACCGTAAATCGGGTAGCGGCCCAAATTCCCTACCCACGTAAACTGACCACGCCACGCCTTGCCCGCCCACCACCACCACCGCCCCGCGTGGGCTCCGCTGGCTGCCCACGCTGGCCGCCCGCCCGCCCAGGCCTGGCCAGCAGCAGTGCCCGGCCGCCACCGCCACCCCGCGCGCCCCCGGCCCCCGGCCGCCAGAGGAGGAGGGAGGAGGAGCAGACCACCGGAGGAGCCCCACCCCGCCGCTCGCCTCAACCCACCGGAGGTGCTGCCGCGCCGGAGGTGCCACACGCGCCACGCCTGGCCGCCCGGCCCGGGAGGAGAACCTCCGCGCCATCCGCCGGCCACCGGAGAAGGAGGAGGACCCCGCGCCACCCGCCAACCCCGTCCATGCTGTCCGCCGTGCCCGCCCCCATTCTGAGCAGAAGGTGGGAGAAAGGGAGGAAGAGGAGAAGGGGAACAGGAGAAGAGAGGAGGAGGAGGTGCCCTCGCCCCGTCCGTGGCCTCCGACGTCCCTCCGACGTCCAGGTATGCCCTTCCCTCGCTTCATGGTGTACAATGCTGGTGAAGGAGGAGGTCTAGGTGGAGGTCGAGGTGGTGGTGGCATGCAATGGTGGAGGTAGAGAAGGAGGGTAGTGTGTTCGTTGAGGTGGTGGTGGTGTGGTCGTTGTGGTGGATGTGGTGGTGTGGTCATGGTCGTTGTGGTGTATGTTGTGGTGTGGTCGTGGTCGTGGTCGTGGTGGTAGTGTGGTGGTTGTGGTGGTGGTGGTGTGGTGGTGGTGGTGTGGTGGTGGTGGTGGAGGTTGTGGTGGTGGTGGTGTGGTGGTGGTCGTGGTGGTGGTGGTGGTAGTGTGGTGGTTGTGGTGGTGGTGGTGTGGTCGTGGTGGTGGAGGTGGTGGTGTGTTGGTGGTGGATTAATATATATCTGGCTATCGGCCATCGTGCCGTATTTGTTCCCTTGATATGTGGTTGTCGGCCATCGTGCCGGTTTTTTCTTGCAAGTTTTGGAAACCTCCCCGTACAAGGGAGGTTCTGCCGAAATTTTCAACTTATAGTATTGTGTTTCTTTTTTGCAGAGAAGAGCACGTCAGAGGGGACTCGGCGACCCCAATCCTCTTCGTCGGCGTTGTGG